TTAAAATAGCGATATTGGTACATAAAGAGAAGAGAATAAAACTCAGTGTCCAATGAATGATTAAATGAATGCCTTGTCGTTCAGCTGGGTGATATTACACCCAGCGGATTTAGACGACTGTAGATAAAGCAATTTGTCTCAAAATTACCAAATAAATCCGGTGTCCGAGACGCAGCGGACCATAAAAAAAGAAAAATTAGAGGGACTCAAGGTGCCTGAATGAAATATTGTGGAGCCCGGTGTTGCTGTTATAGACCACGGAAAGTGATTAACTTAGACAATTGATTGGAAAAATGAATCGTTTTCGAAATTCTGTTTTGAGATTCCATTGTGTAGTCAATGAGACATTTTCAAAAAAATATAGAATATTACCATATGTAATATGTATATAATATATCACATAATGTTTATCTAAATTACACCACTATCTTAGTAGCGTGTGTGTGAGTATATAAAATATTTTAATTAATTAATAATGTTTTTTCTGAATCGGAACGTTTAACCAATAAAGATTATAAAGATTAAACACAATTGATCATCGAATGTGATTAAAAATTAATAATAAAAAAAATTAGTAGTATTTACTTATATACATCTACAATATTCTACATACTTACATTATACAAGAAACAAAGTACTTAATCAACATTCAATAATAATAATAATAATGTCGTTTCATAAAACTGAATCGTGATACAAAATATATACCTCTATAATATTATATATAATAAATAATAACCATGTTAGAACAAACTCGACCAGTGTCCAGAGTATATTACTATTATTACTATTAAATGCACTTTGCGGAACATAGGTACAGTGAATTATTAGAACAACAAAAACTGGTTATCATCGATCAGTCAATGCGTTATTTGCAACCGCTACATACAGAAAAATAAGATTAAATTGAAATATCAAATATTATACTCAATCAACGTAACAATAAAAGTATATCATTTTTGTCAGTGATGAAAATACAATTATATTGAAAATATATTGTAATATAATATTTCCGGATAGACAATTAATGGAAAACTGTTGACATAATAATTTACAAATAGGTATATAGAGATTACAGCATTTTGGTAGGTATACTAAAAAAGAACACTATTTTCTGGCGAAAAAATAAACGTATTACGCGGATGATATTATTATAATTATATATTGTAGAAAAATAATTGTTAGTAATCCTACACATTTATTTTGAAAAACTTACATCGTACAAATTTTAAAGAATGTCTTCAATAAGAAAATTAATAGTAAACGTAGACAATATATTTTAAACATGTTATACCTATATTTAAATTAAATTTATAATAATTAACGATATTTGTAATCGTATATTTAGTGACTACGTAGTGCCGATACAATTAATATAAAGAGAAGTCAACAATACAATTTTACGTTTTCCAAAACGATTGCTTTTAGTTTATAACGAAAATACCAATGTTCAATAGACGGATGAAGCACATTGTATGATATAATTCCTCCATACTTATATAGCTTGGGCGTATGTAAACTCTGACAGAAAAAAAACAGGTAAAATTGGGTTCATGTAAACTCCGTCAGTAAAGCAAATCAAGTAACAGTACAGAATTAATTTAATGTATTATTATTATTATTATTATTATTAAAAAAACAATCATAATTTTTATAATAGTATTAGTTAAACGTCATATCCTAAAAGATATACAAAACTTAAAAATAAAAATAATGATTGTCCGAACAAATCATACAATAATTATTGTTATGTGTATTATCATAGTAAATAATTGTAACAATCATAAAATATGCACCTAGGTATGTTATGTTATTATTTTGAATTGTGAACTGAAATGATATTATAATACAATCTGTAGATATTTTAACTTCTAAGTCTAATATAAATGATAAATCCATTATTATAACTATTTATCTCTAACACTATCATATTTTTCCATTTTTAATTTTTGNAAATGATATAATACAATCTGTAGATATTTTAACTTCTAAGTCTAATATAAATGATAAATCCACTATTATAACTATTTATCTCTAACACTATCATATTTTTCCATTTTTAATTTTTGAGCCTATTTAGTTGAGATATATTATTAAGTTTAACATAAGCATGCCCATAACATTGGCAAAGTTTCCAAAGACCTATTACAGATAAGAAAAAAACTTTAAAAGTTTACGTTTCCTTTCATTACCTCTTTATCCAATCGGTATTCTAGCGGAGCTTACAATCGTCCGTATACCTTATAATACGTATAAATTCCAATTACTTTTTAATCAAATTATTAATTATTAGGTAATTACTTTAACATTATTTTCACAAGTATAAATTGTACTCTTTACATATTGATATTATATAGACCACAAGTTGTTTAAATCCAGACAATTTAAATCACAAAAGCTAGTTTTAAAAATTAATCTTGATCATTTTTATTTCCATTAAAATGTGAAGGCTATTTAAATACAAAATATGTTGGCCACATAATACGGTTCGTTAACTAGCTTATTATAAGTATTATACTATATTATACTGAATTTATATTTTATACAGAACTGTAAAATCAAATAAAACGAAAGAGATTGCTAACCACTGTGCTATCATTCAAAACTAATTAACATATTATATTATTATGTCGCATACAACTTAATTTCGTTTGACCTACAGTAAGACTAGATGAAAAATCTGTAAAATATTTTTCATAGTAAAGACAAGTGTTATACTGTTATAATATTAAATGTTTATTATTTACGACGCATAAAATAATAATATTAGTCAACTTGTTTTTCCTATCTAAAAAAATTCTTATACTCGTCTTACATTCGTTTAAGCGTCGTTTGTGATGATTGTTTACGATTTTTGTGAATCGTCACATCATTAGTTCGATGACATCTGGAAACAAATACTTTCTGATAAATTATGTAAGATTTGAGTACGAAATATCCTCCTCGTCTTTGTTTAATTATTTTACCATTATCAATAATTGGCAACAACTTTCACAATCTAAATATCTAATAGAAACGATTATTAGTTGTTATAAAGTCGATTGGTTTTATAAAAAACGAGATGTACGAGTTTCGGCAAGTCTTTATAGTTAATTTTTTTTAGATGGGTTTACGATATATTAATATCCTTGGCTGTCATAATTGGCTATACTCGATTTTTTTTTTTTTACCACGCTAAATTTGCAACAATATAATAACGCGTCTGGTCAAGATAAACTATTTAATTTTATGGATGCCCCTTAGGGCTTTCGGAAGTTTACAAGAGTGTCACAATTAAATGTTCCCCATAGAAAGCATATTAACTTAGATTTTTATCGGTCCTAATAAAATTAATAATTAATCTCACCTCTTTTTATTTGATATTTATGGGCATTTTATTTTTTCTATTTCATTATTGTATAACGATGTTCTATCAGTATAGCGATAACGCTAATGATTTAAAATTTTTTGTGACTATCGGATATTTTGCTGTAACGCCTAAAATGTATATTATTTTAAATAAGTACATAATATTATTTCTTATTAAATAGATAGTATAATAATTAATCTACGAATTTGAAAATAAAAAATATAGCTTTTTAAGTTTTCCATATAATTTGATGTATGAAAAGTGAAAAGGAATTCACGAGTCCTTTTTTCAACTGCGGCGAGTCATGTTAAAAGGCGTACCTACTAACTACCTACAAATACATCTACTCTTCATTATAGGTTTGCTGCACAGGTAGTACGCATCACAATAATTTAATTAACAGCCGAGTTTTTTTTTGTCTTTAATAAATTTCGGATAATGTATTTTCCAATGTCCAATCTACACATTATTATTATTATTATTATTATTATTATTATTATTATTATTATTATTATTATTATTACTATTAAATTAACGTCGTTATATACATCATGCTCGTTCGTGGTTCGTCTTTATAAACTCAAAGGAAAAACATCAGAACACGATTTGGTCTGCTAACGCGCCTGCAGAAATCACAAAGGGTATACATATATAGTTATAGCTTACTTATATACTATAATAATATGTTCGTTGGGGAATTTCAGTTTACAAAAATAAAATTGTTTCTTTTCGCTTACTAAAATCAATGTATTGACGCGGCTAGTGTCGCAACAAAACTGTTGTCGAAATATTATTATGGACCGATAAAATATTATACGCTTACGACGTCATCATCACTGTTGTAGCATCGCGATATAATACTATACGGTCAGTCAGTATACCTATAATCTATACATATATATTATATAAAATATATCACAGCACATCAGTATTCTGTCGTAATCGTCGTCATCGTCGTCGGGAAAACACATTACACGTCGGCGGAATTTATCCGCGAGAGACGAGCGAATATCATCGTACTCGGGACAGAGGCTCCGGATATAATATATAATATAATATATATATATCGTTACCAAAGTTTATTTTATTTTATCCTTCGAAAGTTTTCCTGTCCGTTAGGCGACCGATTCCGCTGTCGGACACGATGGCATAATAATATATCTATCGATGTATACTATAAAATATTATGGATACTGTCGGTCTAGTATGTCTACTCTTATCCTTGTGTGCACTGTGCAGTATGGATACGTGTATCGACGTATCGGGGATGACGACGATGAAGACGAAAGGTTATCGAAGTCTGCCTATAAAACGTACCTATCATTATTATTGACTATTATGTCATTTGTCCGTGACTCCGAGGCGGCTCTGTGATGCCGGTCAAAAGTATACTACATATTATTATTATTGTTATTATGTACCTTTTCGTAGGTGTATAATGAAACGTTAGGTGCCTAACTGTGTAACGCGATCGAACAAATCTGTCGTTTTGTGGGTCTCCTCTTATATTACCAACGTTAAGTTCTAAAAGGAACGATCTATAGGACATGATAGTATTAGTATACCATAAATATGACGATAAAATATACTCAATAATCGTTGATCTTACAATAATATTTTATATACAATTACAATTATCTCGTGTGTTTACCTCATTCGGTGGACACGTGTTTATATAATATTTTATATACTTCGATATCCTCGTCCCCGGCCAAACGGTGAAAAATTACCACGAAATAAACGAACTAAACGACGAACAAAACACACCGACGATATCGAAGAGAATATCCACTCGTACTGAGTGATTGAAAAAACAGTTCAAATAATATTACGACGAGCAACGACGAAACGGCCGATGCGAACGTCCTAAAACGCAGAAAAAATAGATTTTTCCTTTAAAAATTCGCGGGCTGCAAAGAAACCGGGACGATTGATTAAAGTATTTTTTTTTTTTNTTATTATTATTGTTATTATGTACCTTTTCGTAGGTGTATAATGAAACGTTAGGTGCCTAACTGTGTAACGCGATCGAACAAATCTGTCGTTTTGTGGGTCTCCTCTTATATTACCAACGTTAAGTTCTAAAAGGAACGATCTATAGGACATGATAGTATTAGTATACCATAAATATGACGATAAAATATACTCAATAATCGTTGATCTTACAATAATATTTTATATACAATTACAATTATCTCGTGTGTTTACCTCATTCGGTGGACACGTGTTTATATAATATTTTATATACTTCGATATCCTCGTCCCCGGCCAAACGGTGAAAAATTACCACGAAATAAACGAACTAAACGACGAACAAAACACACCGACGATATCGAAGAGAATATCCACTCGTACTGAGTGATTGAAAAAACAGTTCAAATAATATTACGACGAGCAACGACGAAACGGCCGATGCGAACGTCCTAAAACGCAGAAAAAATAGATTTTTCCTTTAAAAATTCGCGGGCTGCAAAGAAACCGGGACGATTGATTAAAGTATTTTTTTTTTTTAAAAAACCAACAAATTAATTACACTTTTCGAGCCGACGAGAGTTTTACTTCGGCGGCGAAAGCGGCAGCGGCGGCGGAGAAACGTCTGTTCGAACGCACACCACGTGCGTCGTACTGACAATAAAGCGCCGCGGCCGGAATCCTATACGGACGACCATCGTCTTCGTATACTGACTCCGCGCGGCAGCGGCGGCGGCGGCGGCTGTGGGTCCGCCTATTTTCCGTTTTCGCGACCATCACGTCGACGTCGACATCCCCTCCGGCCTCCGCCACCACCACGCAGTGGTTATTGTTGATTTTCGTTTTAGATAAATAAGTAATAGTAATAAATACGGTAGTAATATCGATGTTAAAATATTTTATTGTATTAATTATTATTATTAATATGTTTTTTTTTTTTTTTGTATCAAAAGGACTCACCAAAAAGAAATGCATAGTTACGATTGTTGATATTAATTTTCGATTGTCCATATTAGTATTCGTACTTCAAAACAAAAAAAACTAGAAATACATTTAACAAGAGACTTATATATTTTTTAACATATTTGTTTTCAGAATGAAATATTTATGATAGTCCTTTTTTAAAATGTTGATTATTAGGTTTAAAAATTGAACATTTTAAAATTGTTTGACTACAAGATAATTTGAAAATTTTCTAGATATTATTGAATTTTGTCAACATTTTAACTTTTACATATTTATACAAAAAAATTGAACCTAATATGGTTCTTTGGTATTAACTATCAACTGCTATTTTTTTTTTTTTTTTTAATTGATCCTGAGCCCGGCAACTGTGGCCATTAGCTATTAGTAGGTACTGTAGGTTTTTGTATTGATGGTTTGTAGGTTTTTGGAACGGTAGGGGGAACACGTGTGTGTTTGTTTTGGCAGAATTTCGAATGGGGCACCCGTAGGTTTCTGCCATGCCCCGGGGGTGGGGGATGGCAGCACTTGCTCTCCGGTCACCGCGACTTGTCCGGAGAAAAACAACTGCTATTATAACAACTTATAAAGAACGTTGTATTAAATAATTTTAGGATTTTTTACTCAACAAGTAAAATTTTATTGACATTTATAGAATACACAACTAAAAAAATTTTAAATCTCAAATATCTATAAATAACTCTAAATGAAACAAAATGTATAAAAATGATAAAATAAACATTTGATAAAAAAAGTCAAACACCTATACAGTTAAGTTTTTGAAAAATAACCAAATAAGAAAATCGTTAAATGAGAATTTGTCAATTTTACGGGGGAATATCCAATGCCTAACTTCAAACGCTTGTAAAAAATTAATTTGACTTTTCGCTAAACTTTTTGTTTTTGATAAATGTAGGAAATCTTAAGGGGTATCTCGTATAAAAATTTCAAATCCTAGATATACATAAAAAATTTTTGAATTTCTAACTCAAAATAATTTGCCAATTTTCGGAATTTTTATCAAATATTGAACTTCAGACACTCATAAAAAAATATTGTGGACATAAGCTCAATTTTTTTTTATTCCCATTAATGACAACTTGTAAGGAACATTGTTTAACCAAACAAACAATTTTTTATCTACAATAATTTAAATAAAAAAACTAAGACTCTAAATTTTCTTATACCTATAAATAATTCAGAAAGAATTGCAATATGTTATTTTTTTAGAGTTACATTGAAAACTGGTTCTGCGTATAAATTCCAGTTTTTCCTTAACTTTTTGTTTGTTTTTTCTAACGCTATTGAAAACTATTGGGAATTTTTTACTTCTGACCCTTCAAAGTACCAACTAGATTCACTTTCCTACGAAAATGATGCTGTTAAAGAAAATTGAAGAATTTTTAATGGCCCAAAAGGTGATGACAAACAGAAAAAAAACCACACATCATTATAAAATCAATACATCATCACTACGCTCGAAATCTAATTTATTATCGTAATTTTATGTAAACAATACTCCAGACACGTCGCAGCTCAGATGAAGATATTATTTTTGGTTCAGTATATTAATATATTTCTATATATTAATGAATATACGACCAAACGTGTTATCGTTCTGTTTTACATATTATTGTTTAGTTGTACAATATTACTACTACTATTTATTATTTACAGCGATACACTAATTTATATAAACATTATAAACATATACATAATACATATTTTAGCTGTTTTTATTTTATCATTTTTAAATAGGTACCTACATACGAGAAAATGAAAAATAACATATTTCGTGAGCAAAATAGTTAAATTATTTTAAAATATTGTACAGGCCCGAATTTGAATATGCATAATGTTAGAATCAAATTTAAGAAAATATAAATACTTTGATTTAAATTGTTAATTTAATGAATTAGCAATACATTTTTAATTTATCTCTACACGACTACATAATATATTGAATCAATGTGTATAATATTCATTATTGCTAATCCCACGAGATAACATGATCTATAATTAGTCTATACTATACTATTATTAGTATTATTAGTTATCTATTAGTCTATTAGAGAATTATTGTCTTGCACATATTATCTAAATAGGTACTTAAAAGTTAAAAGCATTTTAAAATAAAAAATATTGTAATTATAATTCAATATATTATAATTCAATTTTCAGAGTTGACCTACTTTTACGTATTTTATTTGAAAACATATAATGCATTTTTTGATTCTAGTTTGTTAAGTTGATACAAATTAATGATTAAGTAAGCGGTTGTTTAAAATGCGTTATATGTAATATATTTATAACGTTTGATTGTTCAGACACCTTAAATCTCGAAAACTCACTTTAATGGCATAACTTTTACGTTTTGTTTTGAAAAAAAATTGTTAGGTACTTACAGCATATTATAATGGGACTGTAATCTATACACATGTAAAATATAAGTATACAAGAATTAGTTAATAATATTTAAAAAATAAAAATCACCATTTATAAGTACTAGTAAATCAATATAATTCTACACAAGTCAAAAATATCTGAAATGTATAATTCAATTTTGATCGTGTCAATAGGTTGAGTTGTGTACTTAATTATCTATCTGTAAAAATATAAAATACTACTATATATTATATATTATATTGTTGTTGTTGAATCAATTATTAATATTATTATACCTAATTTAGAACATTGATATAGATATTTGAATACTATAATTTTATACCTGGCATATGGTCGGTATATTCAAATCAATTATAACCGAAAAATAATACCTAACCAACTACGCAATAACTATCGATGGAATATAATCAAAATTATTATAGGTATAATAATTATGATATTTTATTTTTACTTTTTACATTTATTACCTATTTGAAAATCGTAATATTTCGTTGCATCTATTTGGAAGTTTAGTAAAAGTTATAATTTTACATTTTACACTTGCGCAATTTAAAAACATTGTAGGTACACGTAGGCAATAAACGTGTTTGTACAACCTAGTAAGTACAGACTGTATCACTGTGTGTCTGTGTCAGTAGTCGGTACTGTAAATAATTATTTTCATATGCCCACCCGCTTTATATACGAGTACACACATCAATGAATTATTTAATTTACACGTATAATTTAGTTAGATACGAATGGACTATGCAAAATTCTACCTTTTTAATTTCTATGTTATAATATTATTCAAGTTTATTAAATATAATACATAAACGCTCGGGCGTGTCATATAGCTGTCAAACTTGACTGATCAAAATCTACTTATAATTTGTTGTAATTTCCGACGAGAAGGTATTTTAATAGAACCTGTGCAATGTAGTTATAATGTTATATATTATTACTATTATAACTTTGTTATTGATATGTTGGCATGTTACAGATGCCCTGTTTATTTTAATTAATCGAAGGATATTAATCGGCCTTATTACTCGAAAATGTTTCTAAAGTTAAGCTTGGAAATTACTAACAGCAGCAGAATAAGTATAATAAACGTAAAATATACAATTAACGAAGTGAAGATAATCCACAACAATCAATGCTGCAGCCATAGCAAATTACGCGACTATCTACATACCAAGACTTAGTTTGAATTTTACAAATATTTATACACATAGGTAGTTAATCATATAGTTAAAATAAACACACATTATAATAAAGTGTAAATACAATATATTCAAAATAGGAATATAGTATAAATAACACCAATAATAACGGTAGTTTAGAGCCTTATGTATTAATAAATATCAAAACAAATATCAATCCTTACAATAGAAGCCTATGAATAATATCGGTGACATGATGTACTATAGTATATTGTGCACTTTACCTTTACACGTCGTCCTTGACTCGTAATTTTTGAAGACAGCGTTTCGTCCGACCGGAAATGATGAGACTCTCAAACTCGTTCCGCTAGAATTTCGTCGCACTCGCACTGCACACCACTATTAATATATGCACTCCAATGGCACAGTCAAATCTTGCTCCCTGATAACTTTACAGAGTT